TTGGTGCACAGGAAAGCTCTTGATAATAAATATGGATGGCTGTCCTGAGTTATTAAATGAAATTGCTAGAGCCTGATGTTAAGACTAGATGCAATGTGTCAGGCTTGATGGTGTTACTGACAGCAAAATGAAATCGTGTATCTCCATCACTCAGAGTAGGCCCAGAGCTGCAGAGTACTAGAACTCACTTTTTACATTGAAACCTAGTGTTCAAATCACTGCTGAACACGAGTTTTATGTTATATGATGTTGTGAACTGTAGAAAACCCAGTCATGATTTTGTCATGATTTTAGGTTTGGGTTTGGTTTTGTTTTGTTGGGTTTTTTTTTCCACTACTGCAGGCATAGCAAATTCCAAGGAAGAGGTGGGAAGGCCAAATAAAGATGTACTAATATCTTTATGTTGTAGTCAGCTACCAGGGCTCAAGCATCAGAGCTTATTGCCAAGTGTTACATACATTAAGTAAAATAGAAAGAAGAGCATTTAGTGAGTGTTTTAATAATGTTTCTGTATGGCCTTATTCCCTGTTAGAGCTCCCTGGGCCCATATGATACATTGCTTAAACTGATGTCTCTGTTCTTCTGGTCTCTACTCATTTTCCTGTAAATAGTAATGCTTTTAAGAAAGCTTTAATGTTTGGATACAAGTGACTTTTGGGGTGGAGTTTCCCTACAGCTACTCTACTTATCCAGATCTTCACTGCAAGAGTAAAGAGGCTAGTGTATAATGGCTGTAAATTAATGCAGAAGAGTTCAGCTTCCAGTGTTCTAAGATGATGTAGGGTATTAATCTGTTTTCACTAACCAGGATAAGTGGTGACTGGGGGTCATTCTTTCTGCAGATACCCACTGTGGTCAATCAGTCCTCCTTGACAGTATTACAGCTTTGCTATGACTGTGGCAGAACCAGTTAGACAATCCAAACTAACTTTGGAAATGCAGGCAGTATGAGAATTGAAATCAGACTGATGAATTTTCAGCGTTATGTTAACTGGTTAAACTGATCTACTGCTGATAGCAAATGAGGGAGAAATAAATGCATGGTGGAAATAGATGTTGGAGTGTTACACATGTTGAATCAGTAACCACTGCCTGCAATTTGCCCAGGAGTAATTGTTTCTGGTGGCTGTCTAAACACAGAAGGCTTCAGGGCTGTCTCTGGTGTGTACTCAGGCTTGTGGGTAGCTGGGCTGGAGATGTGAAGTCTGGGAAGCCAATATGTCATACAGGGGACTTTGTGGGCAGAGCACTGTAGAAAGATACATGTCCCCATTACAGAAACAGGAGTCTTTCAGGTGTGGAGTGGGGTTCTGCCTACTTTCATCTTCTTTTTCTCATTCACCAAAGGCCTAGATCAGGGGCTGGACTATAGGCTGAAACACAGCTGTTTGTTGCTGCTGCAAGGATTTCTTTTCCTAATTAATCCTTTAACTCTGGTCTAGGTTTTTTTATTAGTATTTTATTTCTTGTGTGGTTATTTTATTTTGTTTGGAGTTTTTTTTTCCTAATGTGCACTGTGAGTTTCGTGTTTGGATTACTGTACTGAGATTCTTCCTGGTACCATGTGGAGATACAGCATTAGAAAAGAGTTACTGAAGCTTCTTTGCCATTATGTTCCTATCTGAATCGAGGCAATGGGTTTTATGGTGCTACCTTAGCTTATAAGACTAGCTCCAAGGATTCTGAGCTCTGTAGGGCCATCTTGCAAAGTAGCAGATTAAGCTTGCTCCAGCAGGATTTCCAGATGTTTAATATTGTAGGAAGAGCTGTACTGGCTCTTGAGATTTGAGTGGAAGACCTAAGGCAGACCACAAATCCAGTATTTTTCTGGCTATAGTTTTTTACTAAGGCAATTCAGGAGTGCAGCTTGCCAGCTCATGGAAGGTGAGGACTTGTATCTGTGTGTGGACAAAGATGGTGAAGTCCATGTAAGTACAGCACTGTCAAAACTGACCAGAAGAGTCTAGTTGCAGGTGAGGAGCAGTGCTCACTATCCCAGGAGACAGAGCTGTGCTGCTGTTTGCTTTCCTTGTGAACTGATGGACACCTTGGGAACTGTGCTGAGGACCCAAGAGAATGCTTTGGTAATTATGACATGGAGATGTTGCTTTTTATTTGAGCAGAGCAGCTGCCTTGCTGGTCTTGGTCTGTATGTTCCAGAAATAGAATTTAAGCCTTCAGATGAGTGAGTGCATCAGCAGGTAAAAGAACGAAACATGTTTTTTGTTTTCTGTTCTGCATGTGCTTTCTTGTCTTTCTCTGTAATTACAGGTTGGTTCTGTTATGCAGTGGAGGCAGCCCCTGTCACTAGATTTCAGTTTAAAAAGAAGTATAGTTACTTGAGTCAGAAGACCTTTCTCATTCATTCTTTGTTACCATCAGAGTGGCTTTTGCTGGCAAATACATAGGTAAATTGTCTATGAGAAGAAAAGTGAGATGGGATGTCTTGGTGTACTGTGGAGGGATGAGAATGTTTCAGTAGGACAGAATGCTTTAGAAAGGATTTGCATCACCAAAAACAGGTAAAATTAAGAATTATAAAAAAATTCTCCATATACTGTGTTATGGAGCACCAGCACTAAGGGTTGGCCGAATATGAACTTAAATGTCTGAATTTGAGCTTGTAATTATGTGTCCCCCTGAATGCTTTGTGGCCTGGTAGGAAAGTTATTTTGCACTGTCATGGTAATAGACTTATACTACTTCTTTAGTACTAAAACAAATGTGGTCCCTGTGCTTTTGAAATTTAACATAGGCTTTAGTTTATGAGCAGTTTTGTAATTTTAAGTCTCTTTTAGAGCTCTAATCCTGATACTTGTGCATGTATGATCCCTGACATTAATTCAAAATATCTATTCAATTTCTAACTTTCAAAAAGTTGTGTGATGAAAATGCTTACTCTTAAGCATCATTCAAAATATTTCAAAAGCAGCAACTAAAATATAATTTTCATTTTTAAGTTGGGAATTTTTAGCAGATTAAGGGGAGTAATATAACCTGTGGAATGTTTTAAATTTACTCTTTAAATATAATCCTTAAACTGCCATCAGCCCTCTAAGGAAGGATTCCGTCATTCAAGCTACTTTACTTTGAGTAAACTGGATTTTATACTGTAGTGGTGTTGCAGTGTATTTTCCTTGTTGAAAGAAGGAAGGAACTCCTTTCAGTTCATTACTGACTAATGATTCTTGGCTCTCTTATTAGCCTTTAAAAGTAAAGTGAAAATGGAAGAACTAAGATGGTATCCTGCTTTCTTGTCAGTGCATTCTGACTGGCTCACTAATTTTCTACAAGAATAAAACTGGTTCCTTGAACTACTGTTCTTGGTATCAGAGCTCAGAAATGGCAACAATGTGCTAACCAAAATTTTATGCTGGCTAATATGTTTTAATACCATTTGGTGGTAGTCTAAAAGCTACCTCTGTTTCCAATGTTCACATTTCCATCCTTTAACATCAGAGTGTGTTTCCTATTTTGAGAAGGTTGAAGAACAGTAGCCAGTAAAATTAGAACTGTGTTGTGAAATGGAGCGTGCATCTCAGATAGTTTCTTTTCTTGGTTTTGGTTTAGGTTAACAGAAGCATCTTTACATCTGCAGTTTCTGGAAATTTAAGAACACTGTGAACCTCTGGCCAATAAAAATTTTCCCATTATGTAAAACATTCTTGTAGATATTGACTCACTGATGGTAGTGGTGACTTCCTGCATGAAGTAAACAGACTTCTGCAATGAATTTTCTAGTGAACTAGTAAGTTTCAGTGCAGCTTTTTGATTTGCTGTAGTTTGTTACGGTTGAGTGCAGCCTTTACCTACCATTTTTCTTTTTTTTCCTTCAGGCTTGTGAGAATTGTTTCTGTATATTAATAGGAGATTCTCGAAACCGACTTGACTTGTTTGTTTCCCAGCAGGAAAGCCTAAGTGCTTGGGCTTTAACTGAATCAGGACCAGCCCTCAGCAGTGGGAAACAATATATTAATCTATCGGAAGCACAGACTGCAGTCTTGTATGTCACTGGGGTTTGTGTTGTGAATTTTTTTCATGTAAACAGGTAGGTAGGAACAATTCATCTGCTGTGTATGTTTTTAATATGTACATTGAGAAACCTCATGACAGTTGTGTGAGTTGGGGTTTTTTTTGGTGGGATTTTTTTGTTTGTTTTTTGTTTTTTTTAGTATTAGTATCATTGCATGCTGCTGTAAAGTACCTTGTTCTGTTTTGCATTTTCACATCTTTAAGCTGATATTAATTTAACAAATCGTCTCCAGTGCCTGGGCTTGGTTTAGTTATGAATGAAGGTGATACCTCAAAAGTCAAAACAAGTTTCATTCTCATTTCTATAAATAAACCCTCTTGTAGCATTGTTCTGTCTTGTGTGTCTTGCACACAATCAGAATGGACTATTTTGCAAGTTCTGCATTCTGCCTGATGGACTTAAGTTGCATGATAGTATATGGAGGCTTGGTTTTTTTGTTCCATCAGTTGTATTTGCAAGGAAGGTAAGCAAATTATTATCTCGATTTCACAAAAAAAATCTTCCCCTCAGTTGTTTGATTTCAAATAGATTAAAAATATGATTAGAACTCATAGGTGGTAACCAGCTTCCTCAGTCAGCCACAGCCTAATTTGGAAAACTGCATTTAACCTTAGTTGCAAGAGGAGAAAATATCCTGAATCCTTTAGAACAGTACCTTAAATATGTTTTGGGTTATGCTTTCCTTCCTTGTTCCACCCTACTTTTTCTGGAGTTTAAAAAGAAATTATGCTTCTAAAAAAAAAAAAGTTAGTCCTGTTTGCCTTCGGTTTAAGCTTTAAATTAGGAATGGATAAAAGAAGTGAAACGTGCTCCTTTCAGCTTCTTGACGTGAACATAGGAAATTCGTCAGTCCTTCAGGTGAGTGATGGGGGTTGTGTCTTTGGAAGAGGAGGAGCAGATGATGCTCTGGGACTGCTCTGTGGCTTTTTCCTCAGAACAGGTACAGCTTCATAAAGCTGGAAAGAAGGTCGTGTTCTTGTCACAATAAGTTCTTTTTGTAGGTTCACTTATTAGTATAACAAGTCCTTTTTAGGTTGTGATCTAGAAGTAGCATCTGAAGGGTGCAGGAAAAGGAAGTAGTCTGCTGGAATAATCGGACACTCTTTTGGCCTTTTTTCTTTCTTTTACTCTCCCACGCAGGACCATGGTATGAAGCAGACTTGCTATCTTTCTGTAAGATTTCTTTTTTTCCCTTGGCCACATCTTAGAAGTTGGTGCTAGGTGTTTGGTGGCATTTTCCTCAGAAATGTTGTGTGCTGGTATGTGAATGCCTGCCAGAAAGCAACTAGGCTACACATGGCTATCTTGAAGTAATTTTCACTGTCTTGAAGCAAAATAGGTTAAGCAGTGTTAAGGTACTAGTCTTAGACTCACTGCAGAAACAACAACAACAAAATATTAAAGATCTTATTTTACCATTTATGTTTAGATTTTAGGGGAAAGGGATATTTTTGGTCCTTCTTCTCCCCAACTTTACCAAAATATAATTGTTTTTGTGTTCCTTATTTCTAGTTATTTTTTCACTTTTGACAGTTCCCAGCTTAAGACTGGAGTCCTTTATACAAGGTAATGCATATGAAGAGATGGGAACTTGGTAGGTGCCCAGGTAAGATCAGAGAAAGGGGATCTGTTCCTCAACAAAGGAGAATAGAAATACACAGAAGTGCTTTAAGTCACGCAGAAAGTCTCTGATAGCTTTTCTGATTTCTTCTGTTTCAAAGCCAACAGGCCTCCCTTTCCCCTTTTCAAATTTGTGATAATGTTTTTAAAATGTTATGTCATGTGACCTGCAAACCAAGGAAGGGATTTGAAGCTGAAGATGACCTTTAGTGGTGAATTATTTTCAGTAGACAAAAATTTAAAATAAAACCAACTAAAACTTCGTTTGAGAGCCTAAAATGGGTATGGATTGTCCACTATAGGAATGTCAATGTTAATTAAGCCATGTTAGAAAAAAAAAATTAAAATCGTTTCAGTGCATGGGAACTCAGGAGCCTCTGCAAAGCGTAAGCAAAGGACTCTTGCACAGCTTTGAGAAACTTAATCTTCCTCTCATCTGTTGGTGGGGGAGTGGGTAGTAGTTGTGTTAATTGTACATCTGAGTCTGTACCTATGTTGCCCATTATATTGGCCATTTAAGGGAAAGGAAAACCTAGAAACATGTCCCTAAAACCAGCCAGCCTTTGCAGTGCTTTGAGCCAAACCCCCGAAGGATGCATCTACCTCTCATTTCCTTTCTGCTCATCCCCATATTGCACGCTCTGATTGCTGGCTACTGCCCCTCTCCTGGGGGGTGCCAGAGGGCTGTGGAGGTTTCTGAGCTCTCCATGTCATTGCCAGCATGTGCTCAGCCCTGCCTGATGTTCCAGTGAGGCTGAACTGGAGGAGACTGGGCAGGATGCTCCCCCAAGGAGAACCTGGACCTCCAGGAATAATAGGGTGCTGATGGTAGGCAGCTGTGATGAGCTGAAAGGTCTGGCTCTGAGCCTGGCTCTGCAGGATGCAGGAGGAAGGAGGGGTGGAAAGCAGTGATGAGCCTATTGTTTCAAATGAACCAGCAACTGGCTGATTGATGCTGGGGGCTCATTGTTGATCCCTTTGCTCTTAAGCGCAGCTGTGGAGAGCGGAGGGGGATGGAGGTAACTCCATGGGATGGAGGTAACATTATACATTAGACTTCAGGTGAACAGAGAGGCAGTGGGCATAAATTAAAAAAAAAGAAAAAAGTATTAAAATCCATCTGGATACAAGAAAAGCTTTTGACTGGGGATGTGCTCAAACACTGCAACAGGCTGCCTAGTGTGGTGGTGGAGTCACTCTCTGCAAATACTCCAAACCCGATGGGTGGCTGTGCTGGGCGGCTCTGCCTGACCCTGCCTGGGCAGAGGGGGCTGGCCTGGGTGGTCTCCAGATGTCCCTTCCAACCCCACCCCTTCTGTGAAAGCTTCTTTAATGTTTGGATGTATTCTCTTGCTGCTGTTGTGGAACACTTGGGGAATAATTACAAATGCCCCTGCTGGGCACTTGTCTCACAAATACTGCTGTTGTGTAATCACTGCAGTTCTAATTGTATAGGGAAAGCATCCAAGTGCTAAGTAGTTAATTGACTAAACTCCCCAATTTAAGCAACAAAAGCAAAAAAAAATAAAAATAATAAAAAAAAAATCCACCAGTATCTCCCCCTTCCCTGAACCAAGAAAACACCAAAACACCCTAAACCTTAAAAGACGTTTTGGTTTTAATCCGTTCAAATATTACGGTTATGAGAAGTAAAGGTAGCTTTATTATGACAGAATTGTTTATTATTTTCCCCTTATTCCCTCTAGTTTTGCCACAAAGTACTATCCTCAAAGTATCCTGTGAAAAATGAAATAAAAAGTAGGCAGGAAGATAAGAGGAGGAGCAGCAGAGAAAATGTAAGAGATCCCACCAAACCAGTTTATGCCTTTCAGCCCATGAATAGGAAGTCATGAGATGATTTGAGAGAACTTTCCTGTAGCTGTGTTTCTTTGCTGTGCTCTCTCAGCCCTCCCCTGATTGCATTTTGCACAGCCCTCAGAAAGACTGCAGTGCAGTAGTTGGCAAGGAGGGAATTACTAGGAGGGAAAATCAAGCTGTGGTGGCTCCTCTTGCAGTGTGGTGTTGCTGAGATCTGCATTTTGGAGGAGGTAATGAACGACTACCTTTGGGTTTCCAATTTGGAAGTCTGGAAGCTTGCAAAAAAAGGGATGTGGCTAAGTTTTCCTTAAATGTCCTTAGAGTGTGCATGGCATGCTGGACAACCACTAAGGTTATTGATGCAGTGGTTTGGGTTTTCTTTTTGATACAAAGCACCTGCAGTTTCTGCCTAATACTTTGTTTTTAATCCTCTGTGCTCAGACAGTGGAGAAAAAGGTAAGGTACTTTTTGTTGACTAAAATATAAAGGATAATGGAAGTAATTTCTGTATGTTGTAGCATGCAACAATAACTGTGCTTGTTGGAAAGTAAAAGTTTGATTGCCTTTTTTATTGCTTGTAATACACTGAAATTCTTTGTAATAATTTCCCTGAATTATCTAGTGTATTCAAGTCGAGAAATAGTTATGTGTACTTCATTAGTATTAAAAGGGGTTTTTTTTTTTGTAGTCAGTTTTCACTTTGATTTTCCAATATAATATGGAAATATTTTCAAGATCAACTATTTTCAGTTGTACTGAGAATGTTCTTCTTTTTATGTTAATCTTAGGAGCTAAATCCCCAGTCCTTTTTATGTCTTACCAATATCTTTGGATTTTTTTTTCATGCCAGATTTTTAAGGGCATAGCACTGTCATAATGCTGCTGTTCAGCTGTGGAGTGCACTTGTTTAGTAAGAATAAAACTTTGGAGGGACCTTAATTCTCTGTGGTTTGGAAGGGATTGGTTGGTGTCTTGGGAGGGAAAGGAGAGGCTGAAAGTGCAAAACTCCCTGCACTAAATTTGGATTTATACCTAAGAATATGAAGAAGCTGTGGCCCATGATCCTTGATATCATTGGTGTCTGAAGTCAGTATGGGAGCTAAGAGTTTTAGGACTTCAGTTTTTTGCTGAGTTAATATGTAAATGTTTAGTACAGAAATTTGTACTACTTTCACAATGTCTGTAGGTATAATGGGCTGACTCGTAATTTATATACTGCTTTGGTGGGGAAAGCGTACAGTTGTAGATCTCCTTTTTGTTTGAGTAAGCATTTACTCCTGGAGTTTTCTATCAATCTCAGTGCTGGGCTATTTTTCCAGGCACTGTGTTTGTAGAATGGACCAGATTGGGCTTTCATGGGCCTGTGTGTGTTTTGCCAGAATCTGTAACCACTCATTAACAGGTTACTTACTATGATTGTGGTCCAGAGTAACATTGCAGCACTAGCAGTAGCAAAATATCAGCAGTAGCCTTTCCTTTCCATTTCCTGAGGACCAAAGGTGAATTGTAGCACGTGATTAAGATCAAAACTATCAGAAAGCCACAAACCCCCCCGTTTTATAGCCGTGGAAGCCTGTGGCATTCCTCCTGACTGGCTAAACGCTATCTTGGTCTCGCGTTACAAAGTCCCGCTCTGCTTCAGCTGGGGCCACGGGAGCGAAACCCCAGCTTGTGTAGGGCCAGGTAAGCGTTTCTGTGACGGTGTGACCTTCCGTAGCCAGCCGTGTGTCGCTGCTGAGGCTGATCCATGTCCGCAGCGTCGTGTGCAGGAGGACAGCGCGGAGCTGGGCCCTCGCTGCCGCCCGGGAACGCCGCTGCCCTGGCACCGCCGAACAGCCGCCCGGCCTGCCCACAGCGCGCTGCTGGACTCGGGCCTAGGTGGGTGCAAAGCTCGCTGGCAGGAGGCGAGCGGCTGAAATTCCTGTAAAATGTGCTTTGGCTCACTATTGTCCGTGGCCAGGTGAGGGTAATGCTGCGTGCTCGCAAAAAGTTGGCCTCGACGTGTGTCCTGGGGTGACTTTATGATACTTTATGGTACTGGTATCCCCTAAGATGAGAGAGGCTGTGGAGACTTCAGACTTTGTGTAGTGGTGACCTGGGCATTGTGGTAGCATTTGCTGGACTTTAATGTCACGTTTAAGAGTGCACTTAGATGCAGATTGATGAAGATTTGTATTAATTATGCTTTTGGACCATTTTCTTCTTTTTCTCTGCTTATAAAAATTCCAGGATCAAACAAACATCCCCAGACTAAGTTGCTTGCTTCTAATGACCTCTTGGAATATTATCATGGGATGTTATTTTTTAAGAAACACTCTGCTGAACACTTAATTATTTTCCTAGAATTGAGCTGGTGTTTTCAAATAGAACTTATCATACTTTCCAAGAAAATGACATTGTTTTGAAGATTTTTTTACAGTCTGTCATGACCCACAGTGTATCTGGGTGGAGAAGTTTTTGTGCTTGCTTTTGTGAAAGCAAGAAATATTATCTGTGATTTTAACTGTGCATGTTCTCCTTTAATGCTATTTCCTCAAGAGTCCTTTGTGAGCGATAGTGGAGGAGAAGAAAACAATCGTTTAAAAACCATGTTGATATGTTTTGTGTAGTGTTCTTTGTTATTTATCTTACATTTAGGTTATTTTTAAAATTCATCATTAAGAATTAGTTTGATGGTTTAATGAAACTAATGGAGTACCTTGATAGATTCTGAAAAGCCTGTTACAGGGTTTTTGAATGAAGGTAATATAACTCAAACTTTTTCTTTCTTCAGGGCAAAGAAAGAAACCAGGCAGACTGTAGCAAAGCTCCCTTTATTGGCAAGAGTAAAGAGAACCCTGTCAGAGCATTGAGAAAGCCTATTCTTCTTTCTTCTCAAGCTGCGGATCAAATGAGATTCAAATAAAGCGAAGGAAATGTAAGCAATGAGAGTCTTCCAAATTTGGGGGAGGTGTGGGAAGAAGTACACAGATTTGATCAAGAAAGCTGTTGCATGGATTCTGGGAATCAAGAGCTTTTATTTAAGCTAACGACTCAGTTTTCAATATTATCATCTCTTCAGTTGTCTGTGAAGGGGATCTGTTACATGAGAAGGAACATAGAATTTCCAGACTGATACAGAGTTTACCTGTTAGCAGGTAATTAGTGAAGAGATTGGAAAGAGCAGTGAGAACAAAGTCTGGGAAAGAATTGTAAAGGATTTCAAGCATTTTGCTGTTTTGGCAGCATCTGTGATACCGAAGAGGTGTTTAAATGGGAAAGAGTCCTTTAACCTGTTCTTAAGGTGAACCTTTTCTAAAGGGTTAGATACTAAGAAAACGCATACATTTAATGGAATCGTGTTAGTACAGGTTTGGACACTCACCTTTAAACTTCTAATGCTTGTGACTTGACTTGTTTCTTACCTGAAACTGAACTCACCTGTATGGCATGTTTTGTGGTGGCACTGCCACTGCTTTCTGTGGCTCTGATATGGTAAAATCCTTCCTTTCGTTTTAATGTAAGGGTCTTTTTGGCTGCTGGGAGAATTCTCACATTTGTCAGACCTGATCATTGACAGCATTGGATAAACTCTGAAGGAGATTTATTTGGAATTGCAGTTTTATGTACTTTCTCTCAAAGGTTTCTTTTGCCTTGTGTTTGAGTGCATGACTGGACTGGGCTGTACTCAATCCAAACTTCATAAGCTTGCTAGGTACTGGTTAGGAGACAAATTGCTGCTACATTTTTTAAGGATATTGTAGCTTTTTTTTTTTTTCTTCTCCTAAAGCATGAATATTTGGGTAGAAGAGAGCATTTTACCTAAGCAGTCTTACTACTGCTGCAAAGTAGGTGCTTGGAGAAATCTGTTTTCCTTTGGTTCTAATTCTAGTTGTGCACATATTTCCTTCTCTGTCAAAAATATAATACAATATTGTGTGAGAATGGGCATTTATTTTGATGACTTTGGTCTGAATTTTCATGTGCAATCCTTCCAGCAATTCAACATTGCACTGCTGGTATGATGAAAAATAGATCTTTACAATATATTCTCTTGGCATCTTTGTTGTTGATTTTTGTGTCGTGCATCAAAGTAAAACTTGAGTGTGGTAGTGGAGGGATTGATTGAAACTACTGGCCAAAACTGAGCAGATGAGGGGAAAAAAAGGGGCTATATAAAGGAAATTATGTGAGTACAAAAGGTTTGTACTGAGAGAGATGATCTCTTACGTGCCTGTTACATTCAGCTTAGGCCACTTAAAAATATTATCTGGAGATAGCTTTAAAAAGCTGGGTGATGACATATCATGAAAGATGTAAAATTTTCTTGTGGGAAGTGAGAGAAATTTAGGATTGTCCTCTCTCAGCTAAACTTAAGATACCATGGATTTGCCTTAATTACAGCTGTTGCCAGCCCTCTCTGTGCTAGTGCACTGATGAAGTCCCTTATTTCACTGAGACACAGAGGCTGTTTGGATTGATAACAAAACCCATCCTTGTTCCAAAATGGAATAGCCTTCACTGTAACTAATCACAGCTATCACCAGCACAGCTGTCAGTGAATAAGTATAACTCTGGTGCAGTCAATTCCCTGGAGAATAAATTAGCAAAGTAGTAAGACCATATAAAGATAAAAATGCAGTGTGAGTTTATGTATACCTAGTTTAATGATTTCTGTTTTCCCCCTAAATAACTGTCATGAAAGATGGAAAATTGTTTTCAAAAGCACCAAGACAAAACCCACTTTTTGACACTATGATACTTGTCTAACCTGTAGAACTCACTGTTCTGAGATATCACTAAGAATTTGCTGCTCATGGCCTCAAAATAATTGCCTGTAAATTTAGCAGATGTATAGAAGAAATAGGAATCATGCTTAACAGAATCTTTGGAGCTACCTTCCCCCCCCACTCTATCTTTTTCTCTTGCCTATCCAATAGTGTGTTGTAGATGCTGTATAATGATGGAAAAGAGTTCCAGGAACTGGTTTGAGCCTGGCTTGATGGATCAACAGTACAACATTTCTAATGTATTTTGTGACTTTATGCTATATTGCAGGAAGTGCATTTATATATAATTCTGAATTGGATTAAATTTTACACTTCTAAAGGCAGCTTAAGTAAGTAAAAGAACTTCCAAAACAGTGCGAAGCAGGTTGAAGAAAGGGTTCTTCTCAGAAGCATTTATAATGTTAGGGTGTTAGTTCTCCTTATAAAGAGAGATACAGGTTTGTCCTTAATATTATACCTAGTGTTTTCAGGTCCTAAAATTGCTTCTTAGGATAAGCATCAGTGTGCAGTTTAGTTGGAAAGTATCGTGTAAAAAAAAAAATAAGTTGTTGTCTCTTATGGCAACAAGAAGTATGGGCAAGTTACTTCTTTTTATTCAGACTTCTAGTAGGGTTTAGAATGGTGAAAAATCTTGGTAGAAGAGTCCAAAAATAGTACTTCCTACTGATGCAGAACACTTCAGGCCAGGGATGCTATAAAAGCTAAGTAGTGTTTTGCTTATTGTACAGTTTAGGGAGAAATAAAGTGATGAAGTCAAAATCATGTAGCAATTCTGTAGAATTGGTGGGGAAAAAAATCCAAACGACTGCTGTAATACTGGAAACTTCATTTCCTAGATACAAGTTACTTGCAAAAAGTGGGAATCAGTACTCTTTCCTCTGAAGAAGATCCTTAGCAGTGGAAGATCCTATAAGCTCTAATCTTAGGGCTTAAGCCCCTTGCTCTATCAGCGAGCATCCTCTGCATACTTTTACATCTGGCATTTGCTCCAGTTGTAAATTATTCCTTTCATTCTGCAAATCTAGAATGTGCCTATGTGAATCTTTATAACAAGCAACTAATTCTTTATGAGCATAAATTTTCCAAAGAATCTGAGTATTCTCATTTAGTTTCTAGTGTAACACCTGGAAGCTTTCAGGTTTGGATTTTCAAAAATAAAAATGCATGTTTAAAGGTTAGATTGCCATTAATACATTAAAGAGAATTGCTTTATAAAGTATTTATTTGGTAGAAGTGAACATGATTTCATTAATATTAACTAAAGAAGCCCTCAGGCGATAAGCATGCAAAAAGAATTTTTGACTAAAACTGTCAGCTTCATATTCCAAATCTGAGGACACATCTCTTTAAGGCCTTGTGGATGGTGTGGAATGCACCATTTTTAGTGTGTTTCTGAAGCAGCAGCAGTACAGTACAATTTTATCAGAAGTTTCTTTGAAAGGTTGTGATCACTTGTATTAAACTTTTTTTGGCTGCGTAACGATGATAAACACTTGGTTCTGGGTAGCGATGTGAAGTTCAGTCAGAAAAATTTATAAATTACTTTTACAACCTCCACATTAGGTATGTTGTAAAAGGATAACATCCTCATTGATTTTTGTTAGTTCTCTTAATCCAGTACAAGAGAAACCTTCAAAGGGACCTGGGGATTTTTGGTCCTTCGTAGTATCCTGTCCGACCCAGGGCTGTAGGACATTGTTCTCAAGATGTCCGTGATATCTATTGATCTGAAACCTCCAGAACTGCAGCTGATGTAAACCTGCAGGCAGCAAATAAAACGTTTAAGGTTGGCAAGTTAAAATAATAACATACTTTAGCTGGCAAAGTAATCACAGAGAAGAGACAGAAACTAGAAGAAACTGTGAGAGAAATGAGGAAATTGCATGCAGGTTCCAGGTAAAAGAGTCTTTTAATGATATCTTACAGTTGGAAAAATGGAATACTGTCATGCAGCAGCAGGCATTTGTGGACTTGGCTTCCAGTAGCACATTCTTAAAATCAATTTACTAGTCAGTTTACTACAAGAGGAAGTAACGTGCTCCTTCGTTTCTTACATTGCTGGGAGACATGTTCTGTGAATCTAAATTTTCAGTTAGGGAAAACACAGTTTTCTCCATGAACACCTTAATAAAGGTAAAAAATGCTTTAGCTAGCAGTGAATATGAAGTTGTGATTATAAATACTATGAAAAGTTTGGGTAAAGGGTCTGTTTTTCTCCTGAAAACTCAATTTCAGTAGTACTTTTTTACTAGAGCTGTAGAAACTGGAATGTACTTTAGCATAACTAGAAATTCTAGCACAGGTGGTTTAGAGGGTCTTTAATTTTTTAATTTTTTTATTCCAGATTCTGTTTACAAACGTGGTTTGTTTTGTTTTTTTCATCTAATAGAAAAACCTTAACAGAACTCCCACATTTTTTCCTGAACTCCAAGGTGTTGATCTTAGATAATACAATCTAAACAGTGAAGTGTACAGTATAGATATTGAAATCACTGAAGTTAAACCTGCTGTTGCTTCATTAAATAAGTGGGCAATATTTTTCTTTTCCTCACATTCTGATAAATAATTAAATACAGGCAAATGAAAAGAGAGTTACTGTTACTCTCTTTTTTTCGTTTTCCTTCCTGAATAAGAAATAATGGATTCAGACAAAGCTGAAGACATCATCTAGAATGGTGGGAAATTTCACTCGGGATTAGCGAGAGGTTGAATTCTGTGCATGAATAAATCTCTTCCTTGCAGTTTAATGATCAATAAAATATTTTGATGATGTTACATGGTTGTGTTAATTTCTAGAGTTTGGTTAGTATTTAGGGCAGTGTAAAAAAGTATTTCTTTCTTACCTGTGTTCATAGTAGGCCATGTTCACTGGTATAAAATGGAAGAGCAGGAAATGTTTTATGAGAGTGAGTTAATTTCCATAGAAGACAGGTTAGATAAACTTTTTTGAGTTTTGGATATAGGCTTAGGAAACTTACTTCAGTTACAGTGGAAAGAACTTCATGTGGAAGTGAGATACTGTGTTTTCATTTTCCTGGTACGGTCATTCCTAGTTGCACAGCACTTCATTTCAGTGTTGAGTTCTAAAAGTGCTGAGCCGTACTTGAAGTTGCATTCTTTTTCATTTAGAAGATTCCTCTAAACTCTG